CGGTTCACTAGGTTATAACTCATAATCCATTAAAATTTATACTGATCATAGACCCTTGGTGCCGATAAAGGAATAGGAGCATTCAACAGTTAGGATTTAATATCAAGAAATTCATCACTCGACCTGCCGGAATCGAACCAGCGACCTAGAGGATTAGTCCTCTGCTCTTGCCACTGAGCTAAGGTCGACTTCTTGGTAAACATACCATACAGAAAATCTAAAACTTACCTACCCGCTCTCCACTCCTCCTCAAGCCACTCACCTTAACTTAACCATTTTCTTTTTATAGTTTTTACTCCATTATTAACATGGTTGATAATGAAAAAATTAGAGACTGTGCAGAGAAGTCAGTTAATTTGTTAAAATGAGATTAAAACTTCTAACAATGGCACAAGGTAGTCAACACCTAACTGATGGCACCGATTTATCATGCATAAACTTCCACTACAGATTTTACATATTGATAGGTGCTGGAAAGATTTGCACTTACCTTTGGGCGTAGTTGTTCATGTATCTTAAATGTTGCAACTGGTGAGGAATCCATGTTTATATCCCACAGCTTCAACATATAGTGAACCGAAAAAAAAATAAAATCAATTATTATAGGAGGTAAAAATATGCATTTGCTTTTGGAGCTTGTTTCATGTATCTATTTATATTATTATAAGTACAATAGACACAGAGTTTAGTGTAAATACCATGGGGAAAAAAAAAGAAAAAGAGAAAAGAAAGAAAGACAACATGAGACAAGACAAGACAAGACAAGACAAGGTTTATAAAAGCAAAGAAACATCTGTGATGTGCATGCCCCTTTCCCAAGCAAAAGCCTCAAAATTGAGCAGAGAAGTCAGAAAATAACCTTTTAATCTTTTATGTTATTTTAAATGAAAGACAAATGTTCCAAACATTCAACGGGATACTAGGATTTTAAAACTATTCCCAAGACAACAAGATATCTAACTAAATCTGAGAAAATTAAAATGCCATAGAAAACTATATTTGGATAAACTTCATCATCTCACTAATCTATATATAGGAATATTGATATAGGAAACAAACCAGGAGAATGCCATGTCACTAAAGAGTCATTCTCAGTTTCTAGGACAGCTACCTTAAGGTTCATGTAATCACGACTTAAAATGTGCCGTCCATCAACTGAAAACTTTATATCAGATATGGCGGACACAATCTCGGAAAAAAATGATCTTGACCCATGATATTCTGCATCCTGCAATCTGTAGGATGAACGCCAAAGATTAGAAGAACTAAAAACCTGCAATTCATCCCTGATAGTAATTGAAATTACTGGTAATAATAACTAATTAACTGCCTAAATACAAAACAAGAAGAAACAAAGGGGAGCTTAACTCACATTCTTCCACTATAATCACATAATGCTGATTGTCGCATGTCAACAAGGCGAATAAAACCTCTTGAGCTGCCATATGCAAGCAAGTTACAATGAATTGGATGGAATTCGGCGGAAGTGATGACCTCTGAATAAAAGATAAAGAGATCAATCAGGATTACAAACAGCCTAATCAGAGGTCCTTAATCATGAGTATTAGAAAGGTAGCAAAGCATATGTAACATAGGCAGGTTGTCTTGTCAGAATGAGATGCAAACAGTTGACTTGACTTGATGTCAATTAGAATGGGACTAAATATGGAACTTCCAATTCCAGGACAGAAACCTTAACCATGATCAACCACCTTAAGAATGCCAAATATATGTTGCCAAAATTATCAGGGGAAAAAAAGAATGAGAAATGTATAGTAGTCACCTATTCCACCGAGTTACATCTCTCACTATATGATATAATTCACAACATTTTTTTTTTAAATAAACAACAAATAACATATTTTGAAAATAGTTGATGGGATGGGAATCAGGTCACAAGATAAGACCATTTTTCATGGACAAGAATTACACAGAGGATGTAAAAAACTTACCAGTAAGATCCTCCATATTTGATGGCTTCATGTCAATGATATTAAATGACTGATTACTAATTTCAAGGTTCCACAAGTTTATCCTAAGATCATCTGCAGATATAAATGTCTCGCCATCACTGCAAATGGGTTAGGAACCATCTCAGATGCAAAAAGTTTAAATTTTTAATTGTATAATTAATTGAATGCGTTGTATTATTTAGAATCAAATAAACAGTGCTTTTGGAGATCTGACATACACTTTTGAACTGCAAAAATAGAATTCTAAAATACAGAAAATGTACAGGATAATTTAACAGACGGAGGCTTTACCTATTGTTTGAAATTGAATTGATATTAAAATCATGAGCATGAGCATAGACCCTTCTACATCTTGCATAAGTGGTGTCTTCATTGTTAGCGATCTATTAACATAACAAGCTTGTAAATAGCCTTGCACCTTGGATACCAAACAAAGTAGAGCAGTGGGTCTACAAGAACGCTCATACATACCTTAGCATGCACTCCATGAGACAGGAATGCGTTGTTAGCCGTATTATCTTTCAACTCTGGATGAGTGCCATTAGTAAAAGATGGTATGTCTTGCTCACTCATAAAACTACTTTCAGCCAGAAGAGCATTTTCTGAAGAGACAAATTGGTGATGATCCATATCATTTGCTTTCTTAATCTTTCGTTCCTTTACCTGGCTCCACATACAGCAAGAAATTTTCATCCACAGCTCCATAAAAAGAACAGAAAAATAGGTTAATATATCTATAAAGATGCCGAGTTCTGGGGCTTAATCTTACTGATGGATGTAAAGTAAAAGGAAAGAATGATAAGGAAGCAAAGCATTACATCTCTCCAACATTAAGGCACAATATAAATTGAATTACTAAGAACTAAACAAATAATGAAATGAATACTCATTACTACAGAAAGACTTAGATCTATTAAATGCTGCACTGTAATGAATATTATATATAAAATTAAAGTTTAAGATATCAAAAGTCACAGTTATAAGCCATAAAAACGCACACCTTCCACAATTTAATTGTTTTATCATTTGTTGAAAGGATAAAGAGTGATCCATTGGGTGTCGTACACCATTTTACTTTGTTGATCTTCTCTTCGATCTCCACACTCTTCAAATAATCGAACTACAGGGGAAAAAATGCCATCAAGAACCGCAATGCAGAGTATACAACATATCGCAGACAGAAGTTTTATAAGGTTGAACACACCTCAGGCTCATGACTCTGAAATTCAGTTTTATATTGATATTCAGGATGGTTTGAAAAGGCAAAATCCAACTGCTCTAGCTGATTTCTTGAGTAGAGCTCGTCCGGTGTCTAAGAAGCCAATAAGCAATTGTAAAAAAAGATCATAAAACAACCAATACAGCTGCCTGCCTAAAACAAGATAGACCAAATGAATTCCAAAAGCATGAAAGGAAAGTTATAAGATAAGTAAGATTCCATTTAATTGTTTTCTGCTATTTATGCTCAAATCACACATTTGAACATAATTATTCAATGTAAAAGTAAAAATATACAATTTCATATCCCAAAAAAGATTAAAAAAAAAAAATCATTCTAAGTCACTTTTCTGCTCTTTTGTTCAACGTTTTGAACTTCTTATTAGAAGGAAGTAAGAAAAGTACTAACAATTCAACCAAGCTTAAACTTAGGTTAACATATATTGAACTATAAAGTTAAAGTTGAATAAAATGAGAAATTCTCACATCTTTCCCATATTTTCTCTCGAATATTACAACCCGACCACCGCGATCTCCAACCGCAAGGTAATCACCGCTCTTCTCAAATTCAACCGCCGAGATTATATCAACTGAAAATAACCACCTTCAAATTATACTCGACTTTCGTCCCAAGGAAGTAAAATTCCAATTCTTTAAATTCCAACACAAACATTATTTATATTCAAAATTACTGAATAAATACAGATCATCTGCATGCAAACATTCAGTGTAGAGAGAGAAGGGGCTAACCGTCTTGGATATCGTCGCCGGAGTTTCTTTCGCCGAAGACTTGAGAGAACTTCCACTCCAACGGAGGTGGAGGAGAAGAAGTGCGGATGGAAGGCTGCCGCGTGCTCAAATTCATGCTTTGCTTCCGTCAAAAACTGTGTCGTTTAAGTCATCTTCCTCGGAGAAGTTCGAGGTTTGGACAAGGTTTGTTACAAGAATTACGACACAACAGTCAAAAGAAAAGTTAGCGCTTTGGTTCGGACAGAGCAAGAAAGTGTCTGATTCTCGTTGAGGCCTAAGTTTTCTTTCTCTTTTCTTCTTTAGTCCTTTTTTTGGCCAACGGATAAAATATGCGCCATTTTCATTCATTTTTTCTATTTTTTTTAATTTTCCTGGCTTTGCTGTGAAAATATGTCGTTTGGATTCTCAGCAATAGCCCATTGGGCCTTCGTAGGGGCTTTAAAATTTCTTTAACTACTAACTACGATCTACATATGCTATGTTAATAATAGGCCTAAACCAACAACAATTCATGTTGGATTAAGTAGAATGAATTATCGAATTCGAATCTTGTAAATAGAGAAAACATATGTTATGAGAGATTATTCTTAATTAGAGTTTGACGCGGTTTCACTCCGAATTAGTCAGAGTTCAATATGTTCTATGAAGATCGTACCACAAAAATAGGACAAAACCGGCAAAAGCATAAAGCTTTTTTTATCTTATTAAATAACCATAACTACCAACATTGGTCCCCCAGCAAATTTAACACTATCCCGAGAAGCATGGAGTTGAAAAACCAAACTTTTGTGTGGTTGTAATGCACATTCTTTTCATGGCAACATAAACACCTCATCATTAGTTAGAAAATTCTAGGAAAAAAAAAAACAAAATCCCTACTTTACCTGAATTTTTGTCTTTGATGATCATTATGGGACAAATTTTTTTGATCACAACTAACCAAATATTCCTTGAAACATTGAAAAGTTCAAATCAGAAGAGAAAAATGGGATGTAAAAAAAAGGAGAAATTGATTTTTATGTACAAAATCATTGTTTCTATCATTATTCTATGTTTGTATAAAGGGAAAAAAAACCCCTCAAGAAAAGAAAAAAAAAGTTGAAGAAAAGAACCTAAGCAAATCTCTCCCCTCTACCTCCCACATATGGAACAAAATTCTCCAAAGGCTTGCCCTGCAGAATCCTATTTCCAATTTACAATTGTTCTGGTTTTCTTCCCAAGCCTAAGGAGACAATAATGAGTCAATT